CTACCACAAGGAGGCAAATACACCAACATACCTTGACCCAAGTACACATACATACATTCACACATACGTTCAACACACACACACACACACACACGATGGCATTTTCTTACAAGATCTCTGATGTTGATAGGACGTTAAATCCTTTAAAACCAAAACCATTTATCGCTTGAAGAATTTTCTCATTATTCGAAGGGAAAATGGTGATAACGCTTAATTAAACTCTGTATTGTATCAGTAAAGAACTTGATTTACTATTTTTTATATTGTATAACGTAGGAAGATGGCGCCGCCCTGTTCGCTACAACGAATCTTGATATGGCGTGTGATGTTTTCAGAGATTAATGGAGCAGATTGCAATGCACACTGGGAATGATTGACGACAAACTATAAAACCGTGTCATTTCATATAATTTTTGTTTCTTTAAATAGACTGATAGAAAAAAAAAATCTGTTGGATATTTGTCGAACTGTCGGTGCTTTGAAAGGCTTTAGGGAAACGTAGGCTATACCAGGGATGTATACATGTCACGTGTTTTCTATATCTCGCGGGATAAATGTGTTTTATATATTGACAGTAGACAACCATGGGCTATACACGGCGATGACTGATCTGTTCAAATATTCAAAGCAAACTCATTAACGAGACAGTGGAGCGAAGGGTTCAATCAATACTAGATATTGGTTTAATGTGAAATCGTGATCGATAAAAACATATGTATTTCACAATCACGACTTAAAAAAGCAATGCAGTGACCTACGAGTCTGCATTTCTTGTTAACAGGGCAGTCAACGGTCTCAAAAGTTTGAATTTGTCAATCCACCGTTGGCAAATTAGAAATAAATATAATGAAATCTGAATAGCTGCTACATAGTACGGCCCTTGCACTATACGAGGACATAAATCCATAATCTCCTAAACGGCGACATGGCTTCCACGTCCCCGTTTAACGACCTTCTATGGTCACCTAAAGTGTCTTTCTGCTTTTATTCAGCGATCCCATGATAATCCTATAAGTGTCCGCTGTGTCCTCTTATAACAGTCATACTATAGCGACGTAATAAAGTCTCCTATGTCTTCATAGAGTGGCAACATTACGCCCCCTAACAGCCTCTATATCATCATATAGCGACCATGTAGTGTCCCATAAGTGGTACCTATGGCTCCTTCGTAAATAGGTCACATAAAGTCCCACTAAAGGGCCCCTGTCCTCATCTAGCGACTATACACAATACCCAATCGGTCAGAGGGAATTTCCCCTTAGCTCAGCGGTAGAGCGTCCGACTATAGTCTAGGATAGCAGGTTTCCTTTCTACTCATTTTCCCGCCTTTTATACGTCTGCTGGATAACCGAACTACTCGGTAGTGAAGCGGACGTAAAACCTATCAATCAATCAGTTCGGCAGGTTCGACCCTCAACGTCCCCGTATATCACTTACCGTCCCCCCATATCACTTACCGTCCCCCCATATCACTTAACGTCCCCCTATATCACTTAACGTCCCCCTATGTCCCCATATATCACTTAACGTCCCCCTATATCACTTAACGTCCCCCTATATCACTCCCCCTATATCACTTAACGTCCCCCTATATCACTTAACGTCCCAATATATCACTTAACGTCCCAATATATCACCTCTAATATACATGATAGGTAACGTATTGGTAAATTAAAATGTTCGTTCATTGGGGGAAACCAAATAATGGCGTTTAAAAGTTATATCTGTATTCTGAGATTATACTTGACTCGATTTTGCCTTGTACACATACATGTATAAAGGGTAGTTGATACCGAAACAACACGATTTCGTACATGGGGTCCCATTGGTGATATTTCCCTTCTTACTCTTGGTTTTATATTCGGTGAAAATATTGACATTCGCAATTCATACCACATTGCAGGTTATTTTTTAACTCATTCACCCCTGAATATTCATAATGAACTATTCCAACCTTTGAATTGGAAGAGTTCAAATGTGTCTTCAGGGATGTATGAGGTAATGAAACAACTCTGCTCTGGCTTTGCCCTGAGTACACAATTATCTCGCTTTGTATTGAAAATAAATACTCTACTGACCATTTAAATCTCAACATACAATGTACATGTACAATTCCCTAGTACTTTAGTCATCTCGGAAAAGATAAAATCATTTACTCCGTAATGTCGTGTGTTTCTAAATAAGTAAGGTGCACATGACAATGACGTGCGCTAGAAATCATTCTCACGTGGTCAAGATATGACGCTTCCGCGTCAATATTTGTGATGTTGCTATGTTCCCGGGCTAAATCAGGCCGACAAACTACACGAGCTCGGGTATAATATAGTTTACCTGTAAAGGGCGGGTGTGACCATGTGTGTATTGATGTATAATGCGTATAGCTTATTGACCGGAAGTCGGTGAGGAGAGACGAAGGAATGGAAGAACAATACCATGGTTGTAAAACGAAAATTATCAATATATAACGTAGATAAAATCAATAGAATTTTATACCCGGACACAATGGTAAATCCTCATATTAATCATTCAATGTTTACTAAGAGTAACACGCGCATCCCATTAAGATCTTGTTATATCTTCCTTCCTTAATACTTCTCAAAGGTAATTTAATGGACGGATGAACGAATGAATGAGTAAATAAACGAAGAATGAATGAATGAAATTAAAATGAGCTGAGTAAATTTTATTTCAATTAAATATTTTTTTACCCAAACTGGGAATCATATCAAAGGAAAATAACTACAATGTACTTTAGTAGCATTTTATTAAATTTTGATTTCTCAAAAATCCATGATCCCATACAGTTCTAATACTACATGTACATAGGTTAATCGATTTCATAACATTATTGATACCGAAGTTTTCGTTAGATCAAGCCTACAGAAAAACTCAGAGGCATGCTAACTCAGACTACAAGATGCTTGTTTGGACCTATCTCTAGGGATGAGGACAATCATAAGAATGTTATCATGGGAGAAGGAAGGGAATATCTAAACGGAACACTGACAATATGCCCATAATGTGGAGGTATCACGCAGGTAGCTAGGTGACTTATGTCCCGTAGTACGCGCTTGATAAGGCAGGTCCAGTGCGATTTCCATATATAAAATGCATTTATTCCCATACCGATGTCAAAATGTATTGGAAACTATTTTTCCGGAAAGGTTATAGCTTCTTGCGTCCAGGGACTTTCATGAGAAATAATAAAAGACGAAATTAACAAAACATAATCAACAATAGTTTTTTGAGTGTAAACAGTCAGCGGGGCTAGACCGGGATTCGAACCATGTACTTCATAATGTTGTACTAGCGCTCTTACCGACTGTGATACCTGGTCAACGAAAGTCTGATGGCACAACTGTGGTACTAATATAGCCAAACGGAAGTCACAGGGAGGTAGCTGTATATAGGAAAATCGAGGCCAACGTGGGGCAGTCGCTATGTACTGGCCGTAGATCGGTGGGTTTTCTCCAGGAACTCCGGCTTTCCTCCACCACCTAGAGGCTTCAGTACAGACTATCAATAGCATACATAATGGAGATGAGGAATAAGTATTTTACTTCCGGTTTTATTTACTGGAATATTCTTAAATTGATTCATAATACATGCAACTGAAATCTCTTGATTTCTGTTATCCATATGCATCGCTCAGTTAAATCTACTCCAAATATCCCGTTGTAACAGGAAGAGATCTAGAGTTGTGTGCTTCCACCGTGCTCCCAGGCTTCTTATTTAGTCGGACGCTCTGCCACTGGGCTAAAGGGAAATTCCCTCTAGTGCGAAGACCGAAAACGTATGTTAAAATTATATTATGCCACATCGTCAACCTAATCATGCATGAAGCCCTGATTACAAGTGATTGCTTCAATACATTGTAGGTATTGAAACTATCTTATGTGTAGTTTATATCGGTTGTGTACTCCACGTTACCTCTGCATAATAGAACTTTGTGAATTATTTACTAAATAGTCTACAGGGAAATTATTCCTTCTTAGTGTAATAGATGTGTTTGATTGAATGCCTCCACAACCACTGGCTGTAGCACAATAAAGTCGGTATCAGTTCACCCCACTTCCAGCACACATACACACATGCACGCATATATAACACGCATGTAGGCAGGGGTCGCGCGGGATCAAAACATTGTGCTTGCTGTAGCATTGTATGTAGGCAGGAGTCGAGCGCGGGACCCCAACACATTGTGCTTGCTGTAGCATTATAAAATCGGCATTAAATACGTGCTATTACAAGGAGGCAAATGAACAGAAAAACCCGCTTCCAGCTCACATACACAGATGACCTTCGGTTGTGGTACAGTGAATAAGGAATTTTAGACTGGGTTGGGTAATTATAGAATTAACCTATTCTTGGTATACACAGTCATTCGACGTATGGGCAGCACTTCCTGGTCTTGAAATACAAACTCTTACATGACGCCATACACTAACTCAAATGGGGCCTCCTATGGGTTTTCACTTCTTACAGCCGAATGGTATTATTAACTGGACAAACTTGACTTTAAAAAAGAATTTCGTACATTAATTTACACTAAAATAAAAAAATATTGTGTGAAGTTTTTTGTTCTGTAATATGAGCACTAATGTTTTGTCAAGATGGGATATACATGTACTTACGAAATCAAATAGATGCGACATAACAGTTTTACACTGCTATTGTAAAATATACTTTTCTCTTGTTGTTATCAGAAGGTAAAATAGTGAACATTTGTCCTCAGGAGGACAAAAAAAATTGTAAAGCGGTTTATCAAACTGAATTTATCTTGAAGTAATCTTGCATATTTTGCCGTCATATATGCCATAGTTACCTCCCTTGATTTTTTGGGGGGTGATTTTGCATATATATCCGATCAAAGCTGTCATACATTTATGATTATACAGTCGATAACGTACTTTTTAAAAAGTTGTGGGACGTATGGCCAAATTAATTCTTTTGTTAACATAACAGCTCATTCTTGTTTTTTTTATCTGATCTGTTTCCAGATTTCCTCATATTGACCAAGTGTACAGAAACCGGAAGTCATCATGGGTCTCGAGTGTTCTGGAAAGGTTGGGATGCTGTTCCTTATCGTCATCAACATAATCTTTATGGTAAGTATCGACCCTTGAACTCAGGAACTATTACTGACTTTTAGCTTAGAAAACTACTGCATTTGACCTTTGACATTAACAACTTTGACCTTTGATATTCTCCATCTTTGCCGCTTTGATAAGTGTCATCAGAGGCATTTGCTAAGAACCGTTATTGTCGTTTGGAAAGTAAAAACATTGGCCTTTGATAAATTAAAATCCTTGATTTTGGTAATGAACAACATTTACCTTCGGAAAGTGACAACCTTGAACTTTGAAACGTACCAAAGTCCCTAAATTAGTAGCTGTCTTTCCCTGCTTAAGATTTAGCGTTTAAGATAGTATGAAATACCATACTGGATGCCTTCGTATTTTAATCGGATAGCACTATAAAGTCAGAACCAGATTCTCGTTTTTTCACAAGGAGGCAAATGCACCAACCTATCGCCTGCAGAACTAATCTACAGATGTGTGATCATGACCTCCTCTATAAATAGTACATTATCCCTATAGAACCAACCCAAAGCTCATTTTCTAGCTTTTTACTACTTTGCCAAATGCCATTCGCAATGGATTTTATCCCGACATGACCTCTGTGTAACGTACATGTACGTGTACTTTGTACGTCCAAGAACAGTCTTGAATCAGAATATGAATGAAAAATATGTATATATTACAATATGTCCCTCTTAAGTTATTTTCGACTGGTTTCTAAGAAAAGTGTTTCTTTTATTGACAAAGGCAATTTCTTCGCCAGCCTGAAATCTTGTGGACATTGTTAATTTGAGAATATTTACAATTAAGAAAGTTATACATAATACTTGATTTCATTACAACCTCTAAATTGTCCAAACGATTAGTATTGAATGGCCTTGACCTTCATATTAGACTCTGTTTCGTTTTTGTAGTTGCTTGGCCTCGGTTTGATGATTCCCGGAATCCTTGTCCAGGTGGACGTTGACATTGTTAATGACAAGGTCATGCCCCTCCTCAACCAGGTGACCTTAGGCGGTCTGACCTTTGGAAATGCTGCAAATGGCCTCTCGTTGACATTGATCATACTCGGAGCTTTTATTCTATTGGTGGCAGGTTTGGGCGCGTTCGGAGCTTGCTGCAAAAACAGATGCATGCTTGTTGTGGTAAGTGTGAAACGATGCTACGTTTATTATTATTAGTTGTTATACTTTGTGTGATGGCGTAAGCGGACGCCCGATAGACAGAAACGTTATCTGGTGGTCGAAAATCATCCTTGTTGCCATTCGAGGCTCTTATGAACGGCGTTGGAGCAGATAAAAAGGCATAATGACCGCACCTTAACCATAAGAATGCAAAACAATTATCATCTAATGTGACGGACACCACTGTACGGGTTACGGACAGGAAACGCATGATTGGAAATTTTGCAACACTATCCAGCAAGGTGTCACTGCTGCTTAAGATAACATTTCCCCATATCTGTAATATCTGAACGGATTTTCACGCTGTCCGTCCGTCCGCTCGGACGTTATGTTGTCCGGAGCATAGTTTACACATCGTAAGCTTTGTTGTCTACAGTCGCCCTTTTTGTGTGTGTGCAGTACCTCTTGCAATGACATGATGCCTCGTACTGAATTTTTGCGCTGCATGATATACAGAGTTACAGCCCTTCGTGATTGGTTTATTAGAATATCTGCCCACATGTGTGGAACATAACTAGTATAACTTTTTCTATTCTGAATTAATGACAACTTCGTAAAATTTGTCAGTTTTATCAAGGTATCATTTGTGTTGACGTTTTGCCCAGATGTGTAGAACATAACTAGTTATCCTTTTTATATTGTGAATAAATGACAACTTAGTTGAATTTGTCAGTTTTAGCAAGGTATCATTTGTGTTATCACGTTAGATAAATAAGTTCCTTTAAAACATGTTTTGAAGAAGGTGTCGTTTTTAATTTTATTTATTTTCCCCATATGAATTAAAGACGTTTAAAATGCTTGACTTTGAAGAACAGTAATGCTGACAAACAACCATACATTTCATGTTATATAAAAAAAAATATGGAATAACCATTCTAATATTTATTTTTCAAACAGATGTTTATGAGCGGGTCAAGTGTAGGGCATTCCCGTAAAGGTTATATTTATAAATCCGTTTTTTTCACCGGAAACCCGATATTCCTCATTATATTTAGAACTGGTCACGTGTTTAGGTTTCAGCCAATAGAATTTCAAAAAAAATACAATGTATATAAAAAATATTATATCAAAGGCTTGTGATTTTTTACATTTTTTTATTTGTTTTATATTTCAGTATGCTATCATCGTTGCTTTATTCTGGATTGCGGAAATCGTGATAGTCATCCTCTGGTTTGTCATGCGCGACAACGTAAGTCAAACAATGATTATCTCCCTTTATCCATGTATAGTCAGTTACACTAGATTAGTTGCATTTGATGTGCGTTGCCACTCAATCATTGAACCCACCAAAATCGGTTGTGATTTATGAGACCATAAGTCTAAAGTCATGGTCGTGAACCTATGACAATTGTGACGTCATAATACTGACGTTGAAGATAGTTCGCGTACTAGCTGTTTGCTATTCTGTAAATTGAAAATTTAAAAATCTACCTGGAATTTTCAGAAGAAACGTGGAAATCAAATATAAATGCATTACAAAAACAATGGTCAATGTAAATCTTAATATTGAACTGTGTATTTTGTTAAGAGTTATATTCAAACATTTCTGAAAAAGAGTTACAGACAAATATTTATAACAAAATGTTTCCTTTTCAGATTTTCCTTCCAATTCCTGTATACATGTATTTTATGTATCACCAAAATCTTTTATTATGACAACCATTTTCTTTTTACATGAATGACCTTAAACAATATGCATGACGTGCCCGTGCACGAATACAACATTCAGGATATACTCCCCTGTACAATAGCTTGCTTAGTCACCAAACCTTATTTTGATAGTCATGTTGCAGCAAACATATATACATTGTAATTACCATCGTACGACATAGCCATTGTGTAACCCTACAACATTCAGATGGTATTCATACCAGCCATGAATGCAATTATCTAATTGATGACGTCATTGTTATTATGACGTCATAACTAATATTTTCGATTCACTTTACTCCTCTGTAGACATGTCTGTTTCCATATACCAATTCTAACGATTAATTTTGTCAACTGAACGATGGCAAACTAAATGAAGGGCTTGTTAGCGCTCTCAAGTTTGCCTATCCAGTTGGCATTCGTATTTTCTATGAATGCAAACTGAAGACAGTCCAATGCTTAGATACTGTGGAAAAGATCAAATGTTGTGCAATTGAAATAATAAAAGAAACCAGAAAGAGGCTGTGGGGTGGGGACAGAGGCGTCAACTACCTCAGTAAGTCTCTGAAAAAAAATCCGCTGTAGATTTTAGTCTTAACGGTTCAACTGTAACCAGCGTCATCGTGAACGGAAGTAAATAAAAGTTTGTAACTTTTCCTTTCACAGCTTGAATCCACGGCTAAGTCTCAGTTAGTATCACAGTTAGACAATAACTACAAATATGATGACCTGACGTCGCACGAAATCTCAACCGCCTGGAACTACCTGTCAATAGAAGTAAGTGGTCATTCTTCCATATAATACCCAACGTTATTGAGAGTCACAATATCTTTTTCCAAGATAAAGATACAATTTTCCGTTCCTTAAATATTAAGTTACCCGCATTCTATCGTCTTAACGATAGGGGACATCATAAAGGTTCATGGGGTTTCACTTCCGGTTTTTGTAAATACAAGATGTCTTCCATTTTGTTTTGGTGTTTCTCTTCAGTTCCTGTTCTTTATAATTTTATTGAACAACTTGGGACAAAAACCTATATGTATTGTTTTTAAATGGATACCGTTATAAATTATCCAAAATTTTCTGAGTATATTCTGCTTTCTGTTTAGTTAAAATGCTGCGGTGTAAATGCTGTCACCGGCGCCACTAATGATTATGATAGCAGCGAGTGGCAGGCCGGAACTCCAACCGGTCAAATACCGAAGGCGTGCTGTGGGGCAACGGTCAGCGACTACACCACCTTCAATAACGCAGCTTGCACGGACACGGTCACTTCCGGATACTATGGCACGGTAAGTCTGACCAACGATCTGTGAACATGGTCAAGTGTCTTTATCGTCGATGACTCATTTTCATTTTGTGTTTAGATTGCATTTTTTTTGTTATTGGATTTGCTAAGCTACCGTCTACCCGGAAACCCATACGTTGAAATCGCAGCCAAACCTATTTATTGGTTATCATTAAACTTGCATTGCTGCTATTACTGATAACAGTCTGTATGTTTCGTACGTGTGAAGTTCTTAATAAGAGTTTTATACTGCAGCACCGCCAAAAAATATTCAAATGACGTCACAAAAAATGTGACGTCATAGAAAACAGGCAATATACATTGCACAATGGGAAATAAAGTAAAGAGACGATAGCCTTTCACATTGAAAAAATCGTTTTGCATAGAACATTAAACCAACGTATCTTTCTGTATGGTTTATTACCAGAGTTTAATATTGATTATATATATTATAAACTAAATATATTCATGTAACTTCTTTCGTTTGCTGATGATTTTTTTTGTCACGTGACAGGGTTGCTACCAAGCCGTCAAAGACAAGGTGATGTCGTACAGTAACTGGTTCATCGGGATTGGCATCACCTTACTTGTTGTCGAGGTAATTAAACTTCGGGATGATCTTCGGGTATTTCCGACTTTAATTGGAATCATTTCGGCTGAGATTAAAAATATAATTCACTGATTTACATGTCCAGTTTGACTTTAATTAATATTCCAATCCTAATTTTGAGTTTAGTATTTGCATTTGGTGTGTGATTGACTTTTGGTCTTGTTGATCAACATAACAAACACGTTTATAGTACATTTACGTAATTATCGTAACACGAGTTTTTAAAATGGCATATGCCGAACCCATCTCGGAGAATTTTGTTTACATGGCCAGGGGCTCATTTCAATAACCTCAATAAGAGCATAGTTCAGATTTGTTAACATTACAAAGGGTGAAAAAAATGCGTGTTCCGTAAAATCAAAACATCATGTCTTGGATAGTTCAGCTTGGCGGAAACCGGTAGATACGTTTCCAATAGGTATTGGTTACATCAATAAACCGCATTATTTGTCTTCTGATATAAATTCCAGGACAACAATTTGGTAGATATAACAATGCACACACTCAATTCATCAAATAACGTTGGCTTGGTCGGGTGGTCGGGACGCGCAGTGAATAGCGCACTTGCCTTTCACCAAAGCGGCCCGGGTTCGATTCCCTTATCACGTACGTTTTCTCCGGACACTCCGGTTTCCTCCCCCGCGCACCAACATCCGGGCCAACAAGAGTGATTAGTATAAATTGCAAAAACTTGTTTCATAATTCATAATAAATAAAGTTTATATCATAATGTATATATAGCATTGGCTTGGTACTATTTTAACAGTACCGCTCAGTACTGATGTTTGTAAATAAATAAAGTCTATATTTATTCTGATGTTTGCTGAGTTTTGCAAAATCAAGGGCAAAGTTAAGTCGTCGCATACAAAATGATTGCAAGTAAATGCATTATCAGAAAACAAGCAAACAAACAAAAGGAACGTAATCCTCTTTTGTTATATATCTGTTGAATCTTACAGCTGCAGCCATTTTAAGGCCAAGGTCCTTTATTTTAAACTGTAATAATAGAAGATGTTGTTTCCCCAAAATGTCGAACTCCTGTTTCACTGGAATTGATTAGTTGCTATCTACTGACAAATTCGAACAATTTTGGTTCCAAATAGTTTAGCCCCAATTTACGTTATGATAACGTGGTTTTATTATCAATTCGTTTTCGACGTCAAGTTGTCCGCATTTGTGAATACGTTTCCATTTCATACTTTTTTTTCTATTCGGCAGGTTATCGCCGATTCTACTTTTCAAAACTTTTTCGTAAAGCTCATATGCAATTAAAACTCGATTCAACATACATATTGTCATTTTCTTGTAACTTAACCAATTCGATGCTTTCTACTGACTCGGCTTAGGAAAATATCTCTTGAGCTCATTCGGTAGAGAAACCAGTAAACCATAGGTTCCGGGTTCGACACCTAGCAAAAGTATAGATAAAAATAAAGACCTCTGTTACATTGACGCCCACGTAAGCACCCGGGAAATATTGGCAGATATGCTCAGCAGTACTTTCACAATAATCGCTTTGACCCCTGGAAAACTCGGACGAGTTCTTACCTGAATGGAGAGTAGATCACTCTGGTAAAATGCTAGCCGCTTCCTACCGACTCGTTCATGGACAATTTCTCTTAAACTCATACGGTAGAGCATAAGACTTGTAAACCAGAGGTCCCGGGTTCGACTGCTAGCGGATCGAGGCACTGAAAACATAATGGCGTCTGTTACACAAACACTTATTTACCCATCACAATGATTTTTATGTAATTCTCACAACATGTGTTATGTAATGTATATGATCACCACTGCAAAAATACCTTAGCACCATGTCCAAACCATTACAAACCCTCAACACCATGTTATCACCACGATAGCCACGTACTAATTAACTAACAGCGTTTGTGTGCCTTAATTCTTTTTTTGCAGATCTGTGCAATCATCTTTGCGTGTTTGATCTGCAAACAAATTGGAAACAAAGACATGATGGTGTAGATGATGACGTGACTGGAGTCACGTGACAGGAAACGAAGAACAGAATTTCTGGTATACTTCAATCTGGTTTTTTTTATCGTTTTGTTCGGAGCATCATTATGAAATCTATGTCATATTTGAAGCAAATGAATATATATGGATGAGTACTTAAATGCAAAATTTAAGGTTTTTTAAAGTATATTCTCTGTCTTATATTCAGGCCATGTAAAACAAGCTTCGTGAATGTATATTAACAATAAACTTTCAAATGAACATTATTCGAATGAATACTATAGAAAGCATAAGTTAACTGTTGTCTATATTTACGCCTCGTGCTTTGCTGCAAACAAACACACTCCTGAAGAAAAATATTAATTTTCTGTGTCTACTCATGTTTATACCCCCCGCAACGAAGTTAGGGAGGAGGGTATACCGCAATCAGCTTGTCCGTCTGTCTTACCGTCCGTAGACAAAATTTGTCCGACTTTGCATTCGCTCCTTTTTCAATAGCTTCATTTGAATTGTTTTATGACGTGACAGTACCATATGTAGCTGTGTCCCCAAAAACAATTTTGCGTTTCGGACCTTTTTAAGAAAGTTATATAAAAAAACGACAAAACTTTGTCCGACTTTTCATTTGCCCCCTTTTTTTAACAGATTTCTTTTAAACTGCTAGTGTAGCGGAGGTACCATATGTAGTTGTGTCCCCTGAACTAATTTTGAGTTTTGGACCTTGAGAGTTATGCTCTTTTAGGTAAAATAATTACGTTATAACAATGTAGTCTTTTCTTCTTTTGCAGACCATATGCATATGTACAGCCATACTGATTACCAAGCAGTCAGGAAGAACAGGAGTAATGGTGTGATATTTTGACGAGTTTATTATTCTATTTCTCGTGAGAGCGAGTAAGAAATTTTATCTTTTAATTGTTAAAACGATACTTTATTGTTGTTACATATTCTGGTTATAGATTTTTTTTTATCTATTAATCTCTCTATGGAAGAAAACTGCTGAGCCATATTGTGTTGCAAATCGTTAGAAATTTTGTTCAAAGGAACTGGAATTCAGACTGAAAGATTGTTTTGTCTGAAAGATTGTTTCAAAGGTACCTATAGTCATGAGTAAGCTAGCTATTTTTCAATATTTTACGTTGTTGCTATTGTTTTCATCACTTACAGCCCATTTGATATTTTGTTTTCCATGTGAAATAACATTACGCTGCGTGACGTCACACTACCTTATACGTCACAGTTGCTTTATGACGTCACGACTTATAATAACATTTCTCTCGAGCGGAAAAGTCAATTATGCGTGCGATATAGAGTCAAGTAAGGGATTGTGGTAAAAATAACAGGCATCCGTCATAGGATAATTGATTTTGATAACATATCGTTTTTATTTTTTCTCAACTAGTGTCCTCTCGTTAAAGGTTGTTGATTATATTTTAAGATAAACTCAATCGATTGTGTATACATTATAATCTTTCTCATAAGATATCCTCTATTTTCTCCATTTTCTCCATTTTTAAATGATATCCGTCCAAATTCTCAGTAATTTATGATGATTCTCATCGTCAATCGTCTTTTATTTCTATTTCTGCATCATTTTGTGATGAAGCTGTCGGTGTTCTGCACTTTTTAGGAGTGTGTTTGGGAATTTTCCTTACAATTCCTTTACACTTCCGTAACATGAGGAGGTGTGTTCATGAATGTGAATTGTGTAGAGTTCATACAATATTACACAATAGTTTCTGGGCCAATTTTTTTTGCGAGTTTGATGTAATGGGTTATAGACATCCATGACCGGTACGGGTCCGAATGCTTGGAAGTGTGGTCAGCAAAATAAATAATCTGGATTAATATCATAATTAATGACAGTTGAAGTGATATAGGCACGTGTTGTTAATTGATTATCTATAAAAAAAAGTTACAGGCCGTTTCTTAAAAGCTCTTCCAACAAATTAGCCCTTGATCCATATATTCGTTTTTGATGGCTATTTATCAACTTAACTACATTATGCTTAAAACCAATTCATATCTTTAGGTTAACTATTCAAATATGATTATTAAAATTGTAAATGACTTAGCAATATGAATAATATGTAATTCATACGGTAATATGTTAACGAAAATAGACATCAAGTGAAAACAGGAATTTATCAACAACAGGCAAAAACACCGTTGGGAGCAACACTCATTGATCCTGATGCTAGGCTGCAACTCGGAGATAAAAACATTGGTGTCTGTTTTAATTTGTTCGGTATACGAAATATTTATGAACTCCATTATTTAGGAATGACCGTGGTTGTATAATATACATACATATGTTATTGGTTTTATTTAACGGAACAAAAATGTGAGTCTTGCCTTTCTCACTAATGGCACTTGGGTGTTTAATCTGACTTGGCTTTGAACGTATTGAAAATGTATCTGGAAAAGCGCCATATTATGTATTAACGGGTTGGAACTTTTAGTTTTTTTTTATCGTTGTCTGTCTATTTTTGTACTCTCACTGTAATAAAGTAAATGACTACTGTTTTACCTTGTAATATTACATATTGTTATTGTTATATAATTGATAACTGTTACTTATTACCTGTTTAAAGACTTGGCCCCAACTCTTGGAGTTGTTAACATGCCGTACTGTGAATTGCTGTGTCATTGGAACGCCATCTTCGATACTCAAGGGGTTCACGTTCGCTCTCTGCACTCACGGTAAAACAGATAGCTATTTGATTGGTATCGGGTTAACCGAAACTTGATCAATCATAAATATTATACCTGACCTTTGAAGATTAAAGAGGAGCGACACCAAACGTCAAAGCCAGTCAATTGTACTGTCACGCGACCGCGAGATATCTTCGGATGTACAGTGAAGGGTAACACTAGTCTCGTTTCATCCACATGATGGCGAGTACTGAGTCTTCGATTTTGTCATGACATATTCCAGGGGTGCAGAGAGTGAAAGTGAGCATAACCCTTGGAGTATCAAGGATGGTGGAACAGATGTATGGAACACTAGGAGATGCTAATCTTTGTTGAAATGATATTGCAGATTTTAACAATTCTACAGTAGGTATATTTCTCGCGTAAGTGCTCTCAGGTCGACCATTTCCTTAGCATACCTGTATCATAAAGGAATATCACACTTCCTCTTTATTTTTATCCAATCAAACAAACGAAAAAGTAAGTATCAACATTTCCCGACGTTAAGGTTAATCTAACAACCTTTACCCGCAGAAATTGTTTTGGACATAACTCTTGGACTCCGCCGGGGCAATGCTCCAGCTGATTTGGAACTCAAAATTTCTGTTTATAAAAAAAGGTATTAAACAATCCATTTTTGTTTTCTTCAAAATTTTAACATTATGCTTCAAATTATTTATATCATACGTTTAATGAAGAAAGATACTTTTCTGTCACATTAATGAGAAGTCGAACCGAGGTCCGGCATAACATAGAATCATAATGAAACTAACATTTTTTTTCTACTGTGATTAATGTTTTATGAGAAAAAGTTTGTCATTTTTGATGGCGGCTTTTCGTATTTTTCCAATATCATTGGCTATATATTTACACCAAATCAACAAAACACTGTCAAATGTGATAAAAAAAAATGTCACCCGTTTTTGAACTTATTAAAAATATTATTGAAGTGAAAAAAACCTATTTTTTATTTATTAGCTGTACTTAATATACTTATAGCATTGTAACTCTTAACAAATTGTTGTTTAATGCTTAAATAGTGACATTGCATGTTGTGTATACGTTATTGTTAGACCTTGTGTACAATATATTTGAATGAATGATTCATGCATCCTCATCACCCTCGGAATATGTCATGAAAACATCGAACACACACGGTTATCTATTTGATTGGTTTTAGGTTAAACAAATCTGACCAATCGCTTGGCTGATGTCTGTCCTTTCAAAATTACAATGGAGCGATATCGGACTTCAAAGCCAGTCAATTTTACCGTTACGCTCCCGCGCCATACTTTTAAGGAACATCAAAATATCAAACTAGTCAGCTAGGTGGAACGTACACAACCTTCGTTTTTTTATTACACATTCCAGAGGTGCAAAGAGCATACATGAGCGTACTCACTGAAATTTTAAGGATGTGATTGATAATAAACAAGTGTTCATTAATTTTGACTGTGATAGCATATTTGTATAAAGATGTTTTATATCTGATTATCCACGATTAATTTCATCTCACCAATGATTTGATGTTGTTTGTATAATGCAACGTACTTAGTTCGTAGGAATACAGCATAGCTTAGGTACAATGGAAACATCTTGAAGAGAATATATTTATATATTTTTGTTTTTCAAATTCAGATGGTGATTTATAAATTTGTTTCCTATTAAGAATCATCCTACCACTGTCAAAAAACTGTTCGTATTGGAAACAGTTTTTCTGTCGCGACAAAAGTTTAAAAACATCATTTCTACAAAGAAGTCCATGTCTTGTTGTGTCATTTTTTTTTATTGTGTCTTTAGTTTTAGCCCGAAGCTTCAGCCGTAAAGTACTTAAATCACTCTCTTTGGATTTTTGACAACTGTTTTAAGGCAATAAGTGTTATAAAATGTTTGAAAATAAGATATCATCTATTCAAATTATTGCCATTTTAACGGATGAAGTTGACATGAAATAGTTCTGGTTTCTCAAAGAATTTGATTTTTGAAAACTTTCTCGATTCTCAAACTCAAATGAGGATCACGGGTCAGTTTTCATTAAAAACTAACGAAAAAGTAACATCTTTTATGAAAAGAAATATCTTATTTAATTCATTAAAAACAATAAATAATAACGATGGTGATATTTAAAGAACAAATCAACAGCAGTGTTCTGAGATTAAAAACAAAGAAAGAAAAAAAGAAACGAGGCCAGCCGGGATTCCAACCATGGACCTCCGAACATAATATACGCGCGCTAACCAATTGAAATACATGATCAGCGTTGTTCTCTTGCCGAGTCCTGTGATACTTGTTTGCAAAATGAAAGAAGGGGGTGTAACTACGTATGAGCAGCCACAGCGGAACTCTCTACTGTTTTGCCTGCAGTGGTACAGGGAACCTTAAATGATTTTATCATGACTTTTGCAAACCACAAACTTGTTGCTCAGGACCTTACTTTCATCTGTTGTGCAATTCAGATCACTATCATAACCATATAAAATATATATAAAAAAAACAACCTTATAAAGTACAAGATGATATTTTGTGTAAGATTTAATATTTTTAGAACTTTGAGAGATATTTGAATACAATATAATCCAATATATATATATCCTTATCCTCTCCTATATCCATCGGCAAAAACATATATAGTTTATACAATATTAACTGACTTTTCTCTCTAGAAAACGTATTTGATAAGAGTATGCTTGTTTTGGCACTTGTCTTAACATTATGAATAATCGGACCGTTTGAAATAAGGCCTTCTTTATTAACTAGTTGATTTCTAAAAAAAAAGTATAACGGAAGCTATAGCAGTAAATAAACTTTGGTACAATATTCACGTTGCTGACAGATTTCAGAAACACGTTATGGTTCTTTCATATTAACACATACCATAGTTTTCAATGAAACTAAGTAAGTAGTATGCAGGTACTGTCTCTGGGTGTATTATACATAATCGTTAATAGAAACCTGTATCAGATGAAGCATCCTCGATATCCAGGGGTTACGCTCATTTTTGCTCCCTACACCCCTGGAATATGTCATAGCAAAATTGAAGGCTCTGTGTGCGCCACCTTGTTCTTTGATATACATCAAATGAATCTCGCGGTCGCGTAACGGTAGAAATTGACAGGCTTTGCAGTCGGGCGTCTCTCCTTTGTAATTTCAAAGGGCAGATATCAGCCTAGCGATTGGTCAGTTCTATTTACCTGCGACCAATCAAACAACTATCTTCGTGTCTTCAATTTTGCTATGACATATTCCAGGGTGTAGAGAGCGAAAATGAACGTAACATCTGGATATCGAGGATGCAGATGAAGGAAACGCATTGTGCCTGTTCCAGTCTTATCTTGTTAAGAGTAAAGAAATATTTTGATTTCAGACATATTATTGCTATTTATAGATAAAACTGCTGTTACTAATTTACAATTTTTGTTGTGTCATTTTCTTTTATTGTGTCTTTAGTTTTAGCCCGAAGCTTCAGCCGTAAAGTACTTAAATCACTCTCTTTGGATTTTTGACAACTGTTTTAAGGCAATAAGTGTTATAAAATGTTTGCAAATAAGATATCATCTATTAAAAGAATTGCCATTTTAACCGATGAAGTTGACATGAAATAGTTCTGGTTTCTCAATGAATTTGATTTTTGAAAACTTTCTCGATTTTCAAACTAAAATGAGGATCACGGGTCAGTTTTCATTAAAAACTAACGAAAAAGAAACATCTTTTATGAAAAGAAATATCTTATTGGGATTTAGATTCATCAGTTTGGTATGAACACAAACAGGAATTGATTACATATTTTGTGAGCTTTCGAAAACGTCTCTTTCCTTTGCCAAGCAACGAGTGTAAATGACCGGTTTCGCGGATCTTTACCTTTTAAGACAACTCACTAAGCCATAGAATCGGTAAAGTCAGCTGTCAAAAATCATAGAGACATTTTGCCCAATTGCTCTCTAATACTGCAGGTAAACATGTTATACCCGTCCCCCTGACTGCCTGCCGTAATAGAGTGCAATTCGGCAAGATGTCTATGATTTTTGGCAGCCTCAAATATCAATATTGACAAAATTTATTTAATAATAGTGAGACATGCACAACACTTAAACACTACACTACAAGTGGTCAATGGCCACCTACATATAGCTGGTGGGCTAATTTTCTAAGTACGCGATAACAACTGTAAATCTTCATTAGATCTAAAGGGAGATAAATGGAGCAATTTTATCAGAAACAGTGACAGTGTTTATACATTTTGACCAAGGAAAGATGCAGGAGGTTTAAGCAGAGCTGTATTTACAATGATATATACAAGCATATTTATAAGGACGAATTTCAAAATGAATTAAATAAAAATCAACAGTTTATCACTTATCCCCCAAAATCAATAGGGTTCCTTTACGCCCTTCAGTTTAAATCAAACCATAAACTCCGTACTGAATGCCAATTCTGCATATGACTACATAAAACCGACATGTTTTCGTGTATATTATATATAACATCTTTACCGTCCTTTACATCTTCGCAAGAAGTAATCATAAACATTTCAAAATTTATTACTATCATTAACGAAAATCGCTCTTTCCGTGAATTACTTTCCAGATATCACAAATAAGTCGATTATATATATACTATTATTTTAAAAGATGTGTTTGGTTTGAACATTTCATTTCTAGACTTCACTTCGAATTTCAAAATAGATCATTTATTGAACCGGAAGTTGAATGATGAACAAAGTGATATGCTTATATCATTTATCATGAACATAATTCTGTCCTGTTGTGCAAGTAGAGACGTGCTATTTTAAGAAGAAAAAAGATCAATAATGAATGGTTTGTATAATGCTTTATTTGTGTCAACAAACACACGATTCTGACATGAAAATATACATTAGAAGCAAATAAAAAAATAGAATAGTTATTGACAAATCAAACCAAGTATCATTTAAAAGGATAATATATATATAGCCTGACATGTCACGCGAGCATATATATTTTGGTCGATATATTGTATTTAGTATTTGTTACGGAGTAAGTATAGTGTATGTTATCATTTATAACCGGGGTAAGTAACATTAATAGTTAGCTACTGCTTGGCGGAAATGCGCCCCAGTAGAAGTGCACGGGGAGAGCTGTTTACAGCGACATACATTGTTTTTGTGGCTTGTGTACCCTGTATGTATGTATTATCTAAATATTACGGCATGTGGAACAGGCACAGAATACAGACTTTCTCTGTTCTGTTTTAGTCGGTATTATTGTATTGTACCGCGTTATTATCGGGTCAAACAATCTAGGTATATGTGCGCTCCAGTCAGCCGTGACCATTGTTTAGCGTTTAGGTAAGGATATGTTGTATTTATGTTGTTTTCATGCGATATTTCATGTGTTGTGTATGTATTAGTATCATATATTGATTATATGAATAGACTTGACTGTTGTATATAGAATTATCTAGTTTGTATCGTGTGATTTACCTTTTTATATATCTATGGAAACCCAGTTTTATTTTTATAGTGTTGAGTGTAGTGTGTACGCGCTCGGTTAGAAAATGTTTGTTTTTCATTGTAAATAAACATCATCATAGTTTTGTAATCCATTTTCTGTCTTTCTTTTCCCGGATAAACAACCGACGCTTGTTCCACATTAACAACGTTTTTTTTTTACTATATTTTCTATTATGTTCTCTATAAAAATCAATATTTGAATTAAGATGAAGTTGTCTTTTCGTAAATATAACTTGTATCAACAAACATCATGTTGAAATGAAGCTGACATAACTTTAATCTATTTAACACACATACTACCAGATTGACATGATTACTTCAATGTTCTCTAATTCTCTCTATAACCTCTCTAATTTGTTGCTTTACTGGACGATTTCATATATATAAAATTCACAAGTTACAGTGCAAATGTAATTCTTGATGTCTTAAAGCTGACATAACAGCTACAACCTGTGCAGTGAATATTTCTTCAAAAGTTATGTTTACATTGCGTTGATTTAATTTCTCTTCGTTCCTTTCATTTCTTTGTTTTTTTCGTTATTTTTAATTACCGATCTTCTTGATATTCGAAATAAAAAAAAACAGGTTGATATTCAAAATCGACCCTAATGTGACAATATTCGGTTGGCAATCGGCTAGTTCCATTGCTATACGATTACCGTGTCAGATTGTGTTACGGGTAGTGTCGTTTGTTAAGCTGTATACAAATGACTCATTGTCGATTAATTGAAACCTATACTGGGCGAAGTCACATTTGCGTGTCATTAACAGACTGTACCGTGGAGGAAACGCACGTTAAAAGCCTTTTGGGATTTAAAAAATAAGACAGCCAAACAGGTAGGTCCAGCTGGTAAAGAAACAATGATTATTATGTTGTGTGATAATTTTAGGGCATTTGTGATAATTACATAAGTGATAGAATAATTACCAGATTATATATGTTCATTAATAATCGGTTTTTGACACCAAACACCACTGAAAAAGCATAAAATGATATCGGACATGGAAAAATAGTGGCACAGAAAATAATAATGAAGGACTTTGCTTAAGGAAAATGTTATAAGAAGTTCAAATTATTTTCTAGAATCGCTTAAAAGTAATTTCACATACAAAAATGTATATAAATATAAATATATATCAACATAATAGTAAACTATTTTAATATAAAAAATCTATAATCAGTGGTTTCCTTGAAACATGTATCCGATCTACCTATAATCAAAAGGTGATAAGCATAATCCTCTAGCATAATAAGTAATCATTATATTAATAATTATCTCAATATATAATTAATCTTATGTGGTATCTATGAAGCTGCTTTCGATTAGTAAGGGGCCGCGGTGGCCAAGTGGTAAAGGCGTCTGACATTCTGCTACCACCAGCCCCCACTGGGTCGCGGGTTCAAGGCTTACGTAGGCAGTCTAACCATTCTGCGCCAAATTAAGCAAACCCTCAAACTAATTGAAAAAGAAACTTTTTATTCACTATCATAATCCATAGTGTGTGGTTAAACACAAATACAAATTCGAAAACACAGAAAAAATGGGGTCAAAGGTCACACTAGCTATTTGTTATATTCCATACACATATCCATTGACAATATGATACAACAGATACTATATTGACCCGGTTTTACAATTTATTCTAAACAATGAATACATTTTTCAATACTTTTGAGTAATATACATAAATATATATACATATATATCGTGTATAAAATAATAATTTTTGGGACGAATTGACTTATAATTATGACATTAAATCAGATTTGTTAGATCAGAGTCCTGAATTAACTGAAAGTTCTATTTGGTAATTATTGAACACTCGTAAAACGTTTTTAAAACGTGTTAAATGTATCTCGAAGTCGAATAGTATCACTAGTTTTCAGACAATATATCGTCTAACTGGTATAGACGAGATGTATGGAAGGGGATCACCGCCATAATTATTTTTTTATAGAATTAGTTACTTCTGGTTTTGAATCTAATTCTATGTACATTTGTATTATTTCCCTAGTTGATAAGTTATAGAATCAGTTACTTCTAGTTTTGAATCTAATTCTATGTACATTTGTATTATTTCCCTAGTTGATAAGTTATA